CATTCACCATAATCAAGATACCACTCCGCAATGCAGATATAAAAATATCTATACGTAAGTATTTAACACATTTAACAAAGGTTTCGCAGTAATGATTTGGCAGAATAGTTTTCAAACAAATTAAATGATATTTCGTCTCTATTTTTGGTTATATACTCGATGATAACCATACTCATCGAAATAAACATTTAAAAAAACTCCCATTGTTACTATGAATAAGGTTTATTTTGTATTTACATGTAGCGTGTTTCTGCAAAAGCTCTGAATAAATAAAGCACCTACAAATCGCAAACAGAAATCAAATGTTGTTTGATCTACGTTGACATTTTATTGTACGTTAGAAGAGACAAGAGTCAATTGTTGGAAATTTGTTGTGTCTTCAATGTTCTGCAGTGCACCTACGCGATTTAGAAAGTTTAGAAACTACTAGTTTGGTTGTTTTATTTAGCTGCTTTTATGTTTCATGACATGGCGTTTTGCTTTCGGGGAATGCCGCCTTTAATTGAATCTTGGTCCGCCGAAGCGCGATGTTGGGATAATTTACCTTAATACTCACACACACAGACAAATAAACACACACACACACACACACATTTACTATATTCACCTAATTTTCAAAAAATCAATGACACTAGATATCCCTGCATTTGTTATAATAATAATAATAACGCACGCACTCAACATAGGGGCTATAGGCACTATGGAAACCCTGTGTCGCGGGTGCCATGGACACACACATAGACCACCACAAATTACACCCAAACTCACGAGAGATATCAATGTAGGTCATACAAATATTTCTCCCGGCCCGGGAATCGAACCTGGGACCTCTGAGTCACAGTCCGGCATGGTAACCGTTCGGCCACGGAGGCAGTTAAATTTGTAATGTTGCATATCCTTTTTTGTTTGGAAAGTACCTCGGTATTCTGTCGTCTTCTAACTAAAACGCGGTTAATTCCACCCCTAAGGGTGCTAAACAGGGTATGAATCCGAAGTCGAGCACTTTTCGTTAAAATTTCAATAAAACTTGGCAAATAGATGTTCCACGAACTTTTGAGGTCGCTTTTAAAAGTTATTAAATTTACTAAAGGGGTCACAATTTGTTTCAAGAAATTAACATCAATATACTACCGATTTTGGACAACACAATATGAGAATGTTATTTATGTTAAGAAAAAAACAAGTTATTTATGAAAAAATAGTGATATCATTTTGTGTATAGACGAAACAATAATATAAAAAAATAAACCGGCTGTTCTTGGCAGCCGTCTTGACAAAGTCACAAATTCATCTAAGAGGCAATATTTACAAGTACGCCTCTATATTAACCTCCAACGACCCAGCAAACTACCTGCAATGGGAAAAGCGCTAAACGCCCAATGTGTATTAAAATGTACTTAATATACTCGTATATAAGCTCCGGGCAATAGTTTTGCACGAAAAACACATTTTTCTAGATACAGTACGGTCATACAGGATGATAAGAGCTAAATTTCAATACGATACTTTCGTTATAATGTACACTGGGCATTTACTCGATGGTAGGACGAATATTTTCGTGGCAATTATTATTAATTATTCGATTTTTTACCGTGCAACGCTATTTAATATTCGAATATTATATCGTGTAAAAATATACTTGAATTTTAAATAATAAAAATTGCCGCGGAAATTAGGTAGTGAACACTAGTCCGAGAATGACCGATTTATGATCTAGGTCTGGACTACTTCACATATTATGCACATTTTGATGTATACAGGGCCTTAAAAGGTTAACAATTCCGGTTGATGTTCAAATATTTTAAAGCTAAAACGAAAACTAAAATTTGAAAACAAAAGGCTGTTTTTATTTCGTTTGAAGTAAAATGTACAAGCGCACATTTATCAATTACCTTTTGAACACATAATTTATTTACAAGGTGCAACTTGTTCTCAGGGGAATCGGCCTTACGAATGAACAGTGTTTAACCAATGTGACAATGTTAAGTGAAAAGTTCCAGCCAATGAAATAACGATATTTTGAATATGGAACATAGATTTTTTATGACGTAACCAATGGTTGCGCAATATTGTAGACGAAAACAATATAAATCTACTAGCCAATGAAATAATAGCATTTTGTGCAATCGAGCTTCGTGGCCTAAGTAATAGGTACGAGATTTTGAAATCTAATTATGTAATGAATGGTACGA